TCTCTGTCTCAAAAATAAATAAACATAAAAAAATTAAAAAAAAATAAATAAAAGAATGAAGTACTAATACACGCTACAGCACAGATGAACCTTGAAAACATTATGTTAAGTGAGAGAGAACAGTACTAGCCAACCGCAAAGGACCACATACTATATGATCTCATTCCTATGGAAGTCCAAAATAGGGAGATCTATAGAAGCACAAAGTAGATCAGTGGTTGCTTAGAGTTTAAGGGGAGGGGGGCACAGGGGTGATGGCTAAAGGGTAGAGGACTTCTTGAAGTGATGAAAATGTTCTGTAATTGTGATGGTTACACATATCTGAACATACTGAAAGCATTGAATTATATACTTTAAAGATTTTTTTTAACTATTTATTTTTGAGAGAGGGAGAGTACAAGCAGGGGAGGGGCAGAGAGAGAAGGAGACACAGAATCTGAAGCAGACTCCAGGCTTTGAGCTGTCAGCACAGAGCCCGACGTGGGGCTCGAACTCACGAACTGCGAGATCATGACCCGAGCCGAAGTCAGACGCTTAACTGACTAACCAACCCTGACACCCCTGAATTATATACTTTAAACGAATGACTTTTGGAATGTGAGTTACTCTATCTCAATAAAGCTGTTTAAAAAAAAAAATGTTACCCATTATCCTACTATACCAACCCAATTACCATTTCTATTTTCTAGGTTATTTTTTACAAAAGACAAATTGGCCCGACTTGGAGAAGTTTTGTGGAAGGAGGTGAGTAGTCATTTTAAAGGAGAGAGTGAGAGGGGTGCCTGGGTGGCTCAGTCGATTAAGCCTCCGATTCCTGGTTTTGGCTCAGGTCATGATCTCACAGTTTCTGAGTTCGAGCCCTGCATTGGACTCTGCAGACAGTGCGGAGCCTGCTTGGGATTCTCTCTTTCTCTGCTCCTCCCCTACTCACACTGTCTCTGTCTCTCTCAAAATAAATAAATAAACTTAAAAAATGTTTTTAAAGAAGAGAGTGAGAAAAAGAGATGGTATATTTGAAGGGTTGGTTGGTAGAAGAAAGCTAATGGAATGACAGACAGAAACCAGTATTCTAGCTAAACTGGGTAGACTGACCAGTAGAAGAAGATGTTGAACAGAGTCTTTCAAATTCATATTGAGGATTTTTAAAAAAATTTACTGAGCATCTACTGAACCAGGCACTGTTTTTAATGACTGGGGATTTAGCAGTGAAAACAAGAGATAAAAAATCCCTGCCCTTAGTGAGTTTCCACGATCCAGTGTGGGGAGTCAATAAGTAAAATATATCAGATAGTGATGAAGTAAAGCAGAGAAGGTCGGTAAGGGGATGCCAGAGTGGTCAGAGGAGACTCACCAAGAAGGTGACATCAGGACCCTCAAGCAGCGGGAACAAGCCGTATAAATGAATGGGAGAAGAACATCATAAATACAGTAGAAATGTGAAGTCTGAAGTAAAAATTTGGCATGTTTGAGGAACAGCAGAGCCCGGTGTTGTTGGAGCAGTGAGCAGGGGGAGAGTAGTAGGTGAGGTCACAGAAGTACTGGGGTAGTTGGACCATGTAGGACTTTGTAAACCATTTTAAAGATGTTGGTTCTCTGACTAAAACAAAACAGCTTGGAGGCTTTTGAGAAGAGGAGCTTTGTGGTTTGAATTATATTTTAAATAATCACTCTAACTGCTATGTTGCGAATAGACTGTGGGGGGCTGCTCTAAAAGCAGAAGCAAAGACACCAGTTGAAGAGGCTGTTGTAGTCATCCAAGCAAGAGGTTGTAGTGCATTGAACCAGGGCAGTATTGGCATGAGTGATCGTCAGATTCTAGATATTTGGATGGTAAAGCCAATAGGATTTGCTCACAGGGATCAAGTGTAGCATATAAGACAAGGAGAGGAGTAAAGTTTCTCCAACCGAGTTTTTTGTCATAAACAACTGGCAAGATGGAGGTAGTAATTACTGGAAGGTAGAATTCTGAGAGAAGAGCAGCTTTGGGTGGTAGGTATTTATTTAGCAGGAGCTTGGTTTTGGACCTGTTAAGCCTGAGAGACCTGTACGACATCTAAATGGAGATACGGAATAGGCAGTCAGATAGGCATGATCAGAGTCGAGGGCAGAGCCAGCGCTGGAGGGAGAAATTTGAAAACCATTAATGTGTAGATGGTATTTGAAAACTGACAGTTTCTGTGGTCACCAAGGCAATAAGTATAGAGAAAGATGAGGAAGAACCCTAAAAGTACATGAGCAGAATATTACATCATCTTGCTCAAAATCAAATGGGTTGACAAAGCATGCTCAATAAGACAGTTTTCTCTAAAGTTAATAAAATAAATTCTCCTCTCCCCTCCCTCCTTCCCTTTTCCCCTTCCTCCTCTCGGTCTCTTTCCCTTTTTCTCTCCCCCTTTCTCCTTCTCTCCTCCCTCTTTCAGAGAACATGACTGTGAGGTTATCTTCATGAAAATTTCTGTGATGAGGTTGTTCAAATAGAGGAACCCAAGGTCTGTATTAGCAATGGGAATGGAGATTGTAAATGAACTTTTGTAAGTAGTTTTTTCTTTCTCTAAGATAAAACAATGGATAAAGAACACCAAATAAGGATAAAATGTCAGTGGCTTTGTATTTATTTTAAATTTAGCATAACTAGTCCTCTACCTTAATTCCCATACTGTCCCTTACTTGTCAAAAACTTTTCTGAATCTCTCTTCTGTATCAGCAAAAGGATTGTAAATTTGTTTTGCATTGTTGCAGACAGACTTCATATAAAGGAGGCTTTTCTTTTGTGTGTGCTTGTCCATTCTGATTTTATTTGAAAATAAGAACAATGAATGCCTTATGAAAATTCAAAGTCAGATTTCCAGGATTTGGAACAACTTTAAAGAGTGCTATATTTTATTTATTTTTTATTTATTTTTAAGCTGGTTTTTGTTGTTGTTATTGTTGTTTTGTTTGTTTTTAGTAATCAGAACACCCAAGATGGGACTCAAACTCACAACCCTGAGATCAAGAGTCACATGCTCTTCTGTCTAAGCCAGCCAGGCACCCCAAGAGTCCTACATTTTAGGACAGCACGTTCTCACCAGCAGGTGCATCTGATGATAGTGGAGAGGGAATGAGTCTGTGCATCCCATCTTATACTGTTTTTTTTCTGTTCCTGACCCCTCATTCTGAATTTTTGTGTGTTTGACAGGTGTGAAAAGGACAGAATGAACTTTACCCCAACACGAACCCCTGTCTCCAGAAAGTAAGCCATTTGTTTATTTTTGACTTGTTAAAGAATCAAGACTTCTGTAGCCTTAAGTGCAAGTTAACTTGGGAACTAGAAGGGTTTTAGAAGTGTATTTCCAAACTGTGGATTTAAACTATGTTAGACCTCATTTCTCTATTCTTACTATGTATTTTTCGGATTAAAAACTAGGACATATTAGGGGTGCCTGGCTCAGTTGGTTAAGCGTCTGACTCTTAATTTTAGCTCAGGGCATGATCTCACGACCCACATCAGGCTCCATGCTGGCAGCGCAACGTCTGCTTGGGGTTCTCTCCTTCTCTCTCTGCCCCTTCCCCGCTTGCACTTTCTCTCTCTCCCTCTCTCTCTCTCTCTCTCTCTTTCTCTCTTTCTCTCTCTTAAAATAAATAAATAAACATTAAAAACTAGGACATATTAAATGTTCATACCAGAATGCAGGCAGTTTGAGTGAGCCTGGTATAGTACCTGTGGATGCTGGACGACAGAGGGAACAATCAGCATACAAACAGGGGACTTTTAATTCCGGTTCTGCTATTGCTACACAATAGATACATCTCATCCTCGTGGCCATCGCTCCCCACTGCAGAATCTCAGAAGTACCTCTTAGTTCATCTACTAGCCTATTTCCCAGAGTTGTTATAAATAAAACTTCCTTTGAAAACATGAAACATTAAGTAAAAGAGTATTTCTGTCATGAGCTTTTAGTGATTGAGAAAATACTAAGTTTTTTTTCCTTCCTGATAGCTGAAAGTAAATTTTAATATCTCTTCTGTACATGCTCACTTATTAAAGGTGTTGACCATGACCTTCGTTAGCTACAACTCTGGGCTTCCGGTATAAAGTTTCTCCACACTGCTGTGTATTTTGTTATGTTGTAAATTGTAGAGATTTAGCCAAACTGGATTAATTTTCACAGGGTTTCTTCACTTCTGGGCTATTTGTTTTCCAACTTTCATTCTTTTAGCTGAAGGCTCTTACTTGCTAAACTTCTTGTCTTGCCTTTGATTAACCTTTGATCTGGTCTAGTCTTGGTCTGTGTAATTCAGATGTCTCTGATGCTAATATGATTGTGTGCTCACTAACTAGCCTATTTTCTAATCCTGAATCTTATATTTATCATTCCCTTTCTTAATAAGTTTGCCACTTATATGCTTGTTCCTAAGAACAGTTTCATTTTGCAAATTATAATCTTAAATGGCAGTACCTTCTATATACGCATCTCCATACATTTTTCCATTTAATACCGTTTGGGTGATTCAGTAATATTTGAGTATCTCTAATTCACAGTTTCTAATAACTTTGAATAATGTTCCATTTATATGAATATACCACAATTTATCCATTATCCTATTGAATGGATGGAAGGCTTACCATTTTTATTGTTACAAACAATGTCATTGTAAACATTTTCTTACATGTCAGCTTGTATATATGTGCATGAGTTTCTCTAGGACAAGAGGAGTAGCAGTTTTACTACAGTGTATAGTGTTCCGTTGCTATGCATCTGAAGAGCATTACATTTTCTGTTACTACCTGGTCTTACTTGGGTGATGTTTCATTTTTCTAAATGATCTTTTTATCCTTCTAACATGTATTTTGAATCTATCTTTAAGCCTTTAATACTTGGAAACCAGTTCACAAGATTTGTCACTAACCTGAAACATCAAACTTTGAAGGCTTATGAGCACCTTACTTCTAGCACTTTAAGAACATAAACCCCTTTTTTATTTAAGAAATTATAATGTTTCATAAACGTCCCCACAGTTTAATGAACTTGCCCTTTGTAATGTCACATAGGCTGACAACTGCCTCCAAACATGATGTTGCCTGTGGCTTCAGTGGTCCCACCAACTGGAAGGGAAAGTCTTTCTTGGATTCGGTGGAGTCAACTCCCTTGCCTTCCACACAAGATCGTCTGGCTGTCCTCTGCCCTTCTCAGGAGCTTCTGGAATATTACCAAAAGAAGATGGCTGAGTGTGAGGCAGAAAATGAAGACCTGTTGAAGAAACTGGAACTCTACAAAGGAGCTTGTGAAGGACAGGTGAAAGAGATGGTGCATTGTGCCCTTTCAGGACTCTGATGGAGTCCATTTGTTACTGAGAGAAGTGCCAGCTTGTATCATAATCACATATTTTATTTAAAGTTTATTTATTTATTTTGAGAGAGAGAGCACATGCACTCATGTGAGCCAGGGAGGGGCAGAGGGAGAGAGAATCCCACGCAGGTTCCATGCTGACTCGGGGCTTGATCTTACTCGTGAGATCACAGCCTGAGCTGAAATCGAGAGTCAGATGCTTAAATGACTGAGCCACCTCTTCACCCCCCCCTTTTTTTTTTTAAGTTTATTTATTTTGAGAGGGAGTGAGAGCAAGTGGGGGAGGTGCAGAGAGAGAGAGAGAGAGAGAGAATCCCAAGCAGTCTTTCCACTGTCAGGACAGAGCCCGTTGCAGGGCTCGATCTCATAAACCATGAGATCGTGACCTGAGCTGAAATAAAGAGTCAGATGCTTAACCAGCTGAGCCCCCTGGGCATCCCGACTTTTCAGGTTTTCTAAGTGTTGCCTGTCAGTTTTCTGACATCATGTCCTTCCTTCTAACCCAAATCCCATTGTGCTTCACTTCGTTGGCTGTACTGCCTGTACATGACCCCTTGCTTATTCTTCTGCTCTGCTTGCATAGCACAAATCCTAGCTATAACTTCATCTGGTTCTCCACCACCTCCTCTCCTGGAGCAGGATTTCTCAGTCTTGGCATTATTGACATTTGGGGCTGGGTAATTCTTTGTTGTGAAGACTGTCCTGTGCATTGTACGATGTTTAGCAGCATCCTTGGCCTCTACTCACTAGATACCAGTAGCACACCTGTGCCCCCATCCTCCCTGTCCCCAATTGTGACCATCAAAAATGCCTGTAGACACTGCCCAATTTCTCCTGGGGGCATAGGCAAAATTACCCCCCAGTTAAGAACCGTTCTCCTAGAATGGTCACAAATCATTACACAATAAAGTCACGGTAAACATATCCATCCGTATCCTCAGTCACTGTACAACCATTTTCTCACCTGTGCTCACCTGTGCCATACCCTCACTCTCCTCCAGCCTGCCACCCCTTCTTAGCCCACTTCTCTCAGGCAATCTTGCTTCCTAGTTCACAAAGGAAATGCCAGCCACCTCGCATGCACTCCCTTCCTGCCCATCCACACACAGATACCTACACCTCTGTCCATCTCTCTTCTTCTTTACCGCTGCAGGGGCAAGATGTCTCTGCCTGTTCAAGGTGAATTGATCCAGAACTCTCCCTGGCCCCCAATCCTCCTTCCTCCTAAGAAACCCTGTTTCATCCGCTCTCTTCTCTCCATGTTCTGTTTTTAACTTCTTGCATGACATTGGCTTTTTCTCCTCAGTATATAAACATACTCCAGTCTTTCCCAACTTAAAGGAAGAAAATGCCATTCTGTAGTTATGCTTTTCCCTGTCGACCTTCTTTTCTCAACCACACTTATAGAATAGTTTGACTTTATCACTCTCTCAGCGACTTCTTGACTGCAGTTTGGTCTCTGTCCTCATTGCTCCATGAAAACTGTACCTCCTTTGGTCTCTAGAACCTACTTGTCAAAATGATCTCTTCTCTTTGTAGCCTTTGCAGTATTTGTCACCATTGACCTTTTTCTGCAAACTCATCCTTTCTTGATTTCTGTCATTTTTCTTTCCTAGGTTCTGTCTTCACCTCTCTGCCCAGTTCTTGTCAGTCTCCATTCACAACTCCCTTTCCTTAGTCTTAACTGTCTAAGTTCTAGATTCCACCATATACGGTCTCATTGTATTTGTTCGTTCTACTGCTACATCTGCGATGATGACACCAAGTAACTGATGGGGACTCCCTTTTCTCCCTGAGCTCCATGCTAACATGCCCACGTCTGAGCTCCTTTCCCCTTTGCTCCCCTACCCACACATTCATATATGCCACTAACACTTCCCCTTATCTCTTCACTTGTCTTTATTCTTTGTCCAGTAAATGGTATCGTTGCCTGCCGCACTCCCCAGCCCCTACTTCCTTCATTTGGTAAGTGCTATTGCTTCTGCTTCCTTAATGTCACTAGATCCATTCTTACAGCTTAATCGCTCTTGCCACAGCACTAGTTCAGACTCTTGTTACGCCTCCCCTGAGCTACTCCTTACCAGTATCCAGCCTCCGGTCCCATAAGTCCCCAGTCTGCCTCTCACTATCCACTCCAGTAACACTGAAGTAGTTGGAGTTTTCCAGACACTTACGGCTCTTTGATGGTTGTGTATTTATGTCTCTTTCCTGAGAGTACGCCCCCCTCCGCTTGTCTCCAACAGTTTTCGTCTTTCAAGTTCCAACTTTTTGGTTGCATTCCCTGACTTCCCAAAACCTTAGAGGTTTTACCCCTGCCGTGATTTCCCCTCTACCATTTTATTCTGTATGCTCTTTCATGAAATAATTATTTCACTTTAATTGTTGGCATGTCTCTTTCCCCACAAAATTCTTCAGCTCTGTAGCCAAAAAGCATACCTTTTTATCTTTGTCTTTCCAAAATTTTATAATCCTTATTACATAGAAACCATTAAAAAAAAAAAAAAGGTGTGACTAGAACAGGTAGATCATTTGGCATTACAGGGTTTTGTAATCTGTAAAAGATACGAGAGCTTTGATGTTACATGCAAACGTCACACTCACCCTGTAGCTTTTAAACCCTAGTCTATACACAGCTGTTGTCATTTGAATTCTGTGTTGGTGAAACCATTCACTTTGTGATATATCTACCTGAACTGAGCCACCATACCCAATAAGAGATACTCCTATGAAGTCAGATATCTTTTCAACTACCTTTTTTTTTCCCTCAGCATAAACTAGAATGGGATTTGCAGCAGAGGGAGGAAGAGATTGCTGAATTGCAGAAAGCCCTAAGTGATATGCAGGTCTGCCTCTTCCAGGAACGGGAACATGCTTTACGCCTCTACTCTGAAAACGACCGACTGAGAATCAGGTGCCAACTAGCAGAAGGGAAATATTGGAGTTCTGTTTCTAAATTAAATGAAACAAGATAAATATCTCTATGGTCCTTCTCTTAGGTTGTGTTCCCCAGGAAGCAGACTCTGAGATGGATACGAATGCCCGTAGGATGGTTAGTAGGTAGACTCTCAGGAATACCATCTACGAGCAGATTTGGACAGAGGAAGAATTTGAACTGTGATTCGATGGTAACAGTTAGCTTCAGCTGAGCTCTGAGGCCAGGACAGCCATTCAGAGGCAAAGGGGTTGAACGTTTGTACCCCACTCATTGGATGTAGGCTGCCACCAGGGAGGGGATATAGACTTGGGAAAGGCTGCTGCCTTCAGCCTAGGGCAGTTGCTGGAGAAGCTCTTGGGTGAGAAGTGTCTTGATCCTGAAGGTAGCATCTGAGCAGTGGTCCACGATGTGGAAGCATCCACTACTAAATTTTTTTTAAATTGTGGTAAAATATATTTAACATGAAATTTACCATTTTAGTCATTTTTAAGTGCATAGTGCAGTGGCATTAGGTATATTCACATTATTGTGCAGCCATACCACTATCCATGTCTAGAATACTTTTTCATCATCCCATATAGAAACTCTAAACAATATCTCCCCATCTCCCCTCCTCCTAGCCCCCAGTAACCACTGTTCTACCTTCTATCTATGTATTTGACTTCATATAAGCAGAATCAGATAGTATTTGTCCCTTTGCATCTGGCTTATTTCATTTAGCACAATGTTTTCAAGGTTCACCAATGTTGTAGCACATATCAAACTTTCATCCCTTGTTAAGGCCAAATAATATTCCATTATATGTATATACCACATTGTGTTTATCCCTTGGTCCTTGATGGACATTTGAATTATTTCCATCTTCTAGCTATTGTGAATAACACTGCTGTGAACATTGATGTACACATACCTGTTCAGGTCTCTGCTTTCAGTTGTTTTGTATATATACCCAGAAGTGTGATTGCTGAATCAAATGTTAATTCTATGTTTAATAATTTTGAGGAACTGCCATACTGTTTCCCATAGTGACTGTACCACTTTATATTCCCACCCACAGTGCACATAGGTTTCAGTCTCTTACTGAATGTGCATACCAACATTTGTTCTTTATTTTTTTTAATACTAGCTATCTTAAAGGGTGTAAAGTAGTATCTCATTGTTTTGGTTTACATTGCCCTAATGATTAGTGATGTTGACATTTTCTGACATGTTTATTGGTCATTTGTGTATCTTTTTCAGAGAAATGTCTATTCAAGTCCTTTGCCCATTTTTGAATTGGGTTCTTTGATTTTTACTGTTGTTTAGTTTTAAGAGTTCTTTGTATATTCTAGATTGAATCCCTTATTAGGTAAGTGATTTCCAAGTGTTTTCTCCCATTCTGAGTGTTGCCATTTTATTCTGTTGATAGTCCTTTGATGCACAAAAGTTTTTTATTTTTGTAAGGTCCAATTGGTATATTTTTCTTTTTGTTCCTTCTGCTTTTGATGTCATGTTTAAAAAATCATTGCCAAATCCAATATCACTTTGTTTTCTTCTAAGAGTTTTATAGTTTTAACTCTTATATGTAGGTCTTTGATCCATTCTTTCTGAATTAGTATAAACACCTGATGTTTTAAAAATTAGAGCTAAGGTCTAAATATATCTTACTCAATTTTAATTTGATGTTGCCATTGTCGTAAAAGTAAATCAGAAAGGAGGTCTTTTAAATAGGAAAATTTACTTCCTCTGAACACAATTATGTGCTTACTCTATGAGAATTGCAGGGAGTTAGAAGACAAGAAAAAGATTCAGAACCTCTTGACCCTTGTGGGCACAGACACTGGAGAAGTGACCTATTTTTATAAGGAGCCTCCAAACAAAGTAAGTAATCTTTGGTACAGCATGGTAAGCATGGCTTTTATAAAATACAGGATGGGGTCCACAATAAGAGCAATTTTGGTACTTATTAAAGAAGATAGAAGGAGAATTAAATGTCATAGCCCCTAAGTTTTCAGAACACTTGCTATAATTACAGACAGTTTTATGATTTTATTTATTTTTCTCCAAAAAAACCTTGGGAAGTAGTATTGTTTAGCCCATTTTATTGTTTGGAAATCTAATTTTTTTTTAAATGTTTATTTATATTTAAGAGAGATAGAGGGGCGCCTGGGTGGCTCAGTTGGTTGAGCGGCCGACTTTGGCTCAGGTCACGATCTTGCGGTCCGTGAGTTCGAGCCCCGCGTCGGGCTCTGTGCTGACAGCTCGGAGCCTGGAGCCTGTTTCGGATTCTGTGTCTCCCTCTCTGACCCTCCCCCGTTCATGCTCTGTCTCTCTCTGTCTCAAAAATAAATAAACATTAAAACAAAATTAAAAAAAAAAAAAGAGAGATAGAGACAGAGTGCGAGCTGGGGAGGGGCAGAGAGAGGGGGAGACACAGAATTTGAAGCAGGGTTCAGGCTCCGCAGAGCCCAATGTGGGGCTCAAACTCACGAACCCCGAGATCGTGACCTGAGCTGAAGTCAGATGCCTAACCAGCTGAGCCACCCAGGTGCCCCTATTGTTTGGAAATCTAAAGCATAGAGGAGTAGATGTTTTGGGGGGAGATTAGAGAGGAAAGCAGGAGCAGAGTTAGTGTGGGAGCAAGTTGCAATACTCAGGTTTCTTTTTTTTTTTTTAATTTTTTTTATTTTTTGAGAGAGAAAGAGATACATAGAGCATGAGTGGGGGAAGGGCAGAAAGAGAGGGAGACACAGAATCCCAAGCAGGCTCCAGGCTCCAAGCTGTCAGCACAGAGCCCGACACAGGGCTCGAACTCATGAACTGTGAGATCATGACGTGAGCTGAAGTCAGTCGCTTAACCAACTGAGCCACCCAGGCACCCCTCAGGTTTCTTTTTTAATCTGAAGTTTCTGCTGATAATAAAAGTAATGCATGGTCTTTATTAAAAACAGATAGATTTGAGAAATCGATCATATAAGAGTGGCAGTGTCGCATAATTCTATATCCCAGAGATAAAACTCTTTTTCCATTCATATAGAAATATTTGTGTATGTATAGTATTTCCATTTTTATACTTGTATAAACAGTGCCTCAATGAGCATATTTATGTGTATCTACATATACATTTTTTGGTGTTGCCGTTATTTTCCTAAAGGCCTTTGTCAAGGATCCCCTCCCCCTTTCTTTCAGCAGATATTACTAGATAACTCTGAAATTTAATTTTTTTAGTTTGTATTACCAGCACTGAGTTTTATCCAATTTGTTACTTTGTCCACTTTGGTATCTCACATACATGACATCCTTATATGATTATGGCAATTTTGACAAATTTGATATGTGAATAGTGTTTGACCTACAGAAATAAAGCTAAAAAGTGAAATATGACATCTTATAGGGAGGCTAATTCTATACTTTTTTTTTTTTTTTTGCCTTTTCAGGTCAGCATTTTCCAAAAGACTAAGCAGCCTGTAGGTATATGTGAACAGAATGAATTTTCCTCAGCTTTCAGAGCAGGTACTAGCCACATTATTATAAATTCTCATTGATGCAGAATTCAAAAACATAGTGCACATGATTAGAAATTTTTTCTACTATGTAGTGATAATGAATATTCATACTGATGTCTTTGGTGGTTTCAGATTTCACTGAGCTTTCTTTCCTTTAACCTTCCTTGATGTTTTAATAAAGTAAAATAAAAAATACATAATTAACATGATGATAAATCATAAAACAGACTTGGACAACTTCTGGGATCACAGAATATTAATTCGATTCTAAGCCTCAGTCTCTTTCTTTTTTTTTTTTTTTTTTTTAAATGGAAATCTTAGTTTTATATCTTTGCCTCTTTTTAGAAAATTAAGATGTAACTGACATATTACACTTGTTTTAAATGTACAACATAAGGATTCAATATTTGTCTGTGTTACGAAATGATCACCACAGTAAGTCTGGATAGCATTCATCATCCCACATGGTCATGCATTTGTTTTTCCTGTGATGAGAACTCTTAAGATCTGTTCTCTTAGCATGAGGTTCTTAAATCATTCTAGGAATTTTGTTCAGTGTAATTTTAGTGTTGCTTGTTTTTTTTAATATAATTTATTGTCAAATTGGCTAACATACAGTGTGTGCAGGGTGCTTTTGGTTTTGGGGGTAGATTCCTGTGATTCATCACTTACATACAACACTCAGTGCTCATCCCAACAAGTGCTCTCCTCAATGCCCATCACCCATTTTCCCCTCTACCCCACCTGACCCATCAACCCTCAGTTTGTTCTCTGTATTTAAGAGTTTCTTACAGTTTGTCTCCCTCCCTCTCTGTTTGTAACTACTTTTCCACTTCCCTTCCCCCATGGTCTTCTGTTAAGTTTCTCAAGTTCCACATATGAATGAAAACATATGATATCTGTTTTTCTCTGACTGACTTATTTCACTTAGCATAATACCCTCCAATTCGATCTACATTGCTGCAAATGGCAAGGTTTCATTCTTTCTCATTACCAAGTAGTATTCCATTGTATATATAAATCAAATTTTCTTTATTCATCAGTTGATGGACATTTGGGCTCTTTCCATAATTTGGCTATTGTTGAAAACACTGCTATAAACATTGGGGTATATGTGCCCCTATGAATCAGCACTCCTATATCCTTTGGATAAATTCATAGCAGTGCTATTGCTGGGTCCTAGGGTAGTTCTATTTTTGATTTTTTGAGGAACCTCCACACTTTTCTAGAGCAGGTGTGCCAGTTTGCATTCCCACCAACAGTGCAAGAGAGTTCCCATTTCTCCACATACTCGCCAGCATCTGTTGTTTCCTGAGTTGTTAATTTTAGACACTCTGACTGGTGTGAGGTGGTATCTCAGTGTGGTTTTGATTTGAATTTCCCTGATGATGAGTGACGTTGAGCATCTTTTCATGTGTCTGTTAACCATCTGGATGTCTTCTTTGGAAAAGTGTCTGTTCATGTCTTCTGCCCATTTCTTCACTGGATTATTTGTTTTTCAGGTGTTGAGTTTGGTAAGCTCTTTATAGATTTTGGATACTAACCCTTTATCCGCTATGTCATTTGCAAATATCTTTTCCCATTCTGTCAGTTGCCTTTTAGTTTTGTTGATTGTTTCCTTTGTAGTGCAGAAGCT